ACCTAAAGGTGGCAAATATGTTGACCGAAACATATGGTGGAAACCAAATATAAGACATAAATTGCTATGATAAAGTTGTGTAGATGATTCACATATTTTAAATTATAAAGAATCTACGAAATATGTAAAATGAGTATTATATTTACCTGTTATATTCTCAAGGAATCTACTACATTGATTCAGTTGCTTCGTACATACAATATTATTTATATTGTATGGTTATGAACACAGAATTATTCTAAGGCGATGAAAGACTTACAGCGTTTTGTGACAAGTTCGAAAACTTTACTTCTAGCTTCGAATTTCACTGTTGCGTGGAGCCAGACAAAACGTCTAGAAGGTAAAACAAAACATAGATCTTTATTATGCTGACTAACACAGCAAAAAATTGGAAAGCAGGAAACAATAAATATAAAACGGTGAAGTTTCCGAGTAGCACGTTACATGAAAAGAAATAGGAAGGCACTAAGGGATTAAAATACTGAGTTACAATATTGATTCACTTATATACCAGCTGACGCTCTGTTGGCGTCTAACTGCCCACAGAGTTCGGCTTTCTCCGCAGTATGTTATATCTTGTGCTATGTTTGCTTTAGTTTCACTTCGTCTGCAATCTTGGCACTTTGGTGCTTGGTCACACTCCAAAACTTATCAAACTTCAAACGTTCTCACTTTCTTCAACCTCAATTACAATTAGAAGCCCAAGCCAACGAGGCGAATTTCGATGTTCTGTATTATTATTTTAAATTAACTAGATGGCTTAAGGAAACCGAAGGACCATCACCGAATTAACCAAAGCCCTTCACCGGTCCCTGTCCTGGGCCAACAAAATCCAGTCTTCTTCAACTCCTATCTTCCATAGATCCCACCTAACATTATCCTCCCATCTATGTCTAGGTCTCCCCAGCGACCTCTTCCCCTCAGGCTTCCCAACCAATACCCAATGCACACCTCTTGTCCCATCAATGCGTGCTACATGCCCCGCCCATCTCAATCTTCTTGATATAATCACCCTGACAAATACTTGGGGCTCATCATTATGCAGTTTTCTCCATGCCCCATCGTCTTCCCTCTTAGGCCCAAATATCCTCCTCAACACCCTGTTCTCAAACACCTCCAATCTGTGTTCCTCCCTCTGAGTGAGAGACCATGTTTCGCACCCATACAAAACAACAGGCAAGATTATTGTTTTGTATACTTTAATTTTCAGATTCTTAGAAATCAGACGGGAAGACAAAATATTTTGAATTAGAAGTAGCAAGCATTTCCAGAATTTAATCTCCTCCTAACTTCCTCATGAGTATCATTGTTATTTGTTATTGTTGTTCCAAAATATTTGAACTTCGTAACACTTTCAAAGGATTTCTTAGCCACCCTAAGACAATTCTGCGCTCCTGTCTGCTAAAGAAATACTAACATGTACTTAGTTTTTACTGAATTCACTTCTGTCCTACCTGTCTCCTAGCCTCTAGTAAAACTTCTGTGTTCCTCTTTATTGTATTCATATCGTCCCGCAATAAATTAACATCATCAGCATATGCCAATAGCTGATATGTCCCATTCAATTGCAAACCCTCCTGCCTATCTTGGATTTTCCTGATGGCATATTCTAGCGCAAAGTTAAAGAGCAAGGGAGACAAAGCATCTCCTTGTTTTAGACCGTTCTAGATGAGGAATGTCTCAGATACATATTTACCTACTCGAATTTTGCTACAGGTTTCATTTAAGCAAATTTTTATTAGACTCACTAGCTTCTATATTATTATGTTAAATGTGTAAAAAATTTAAATAGATGTGTATGACATGTCACGTAGTGTCTGCTATCTGCAACTTCAAATTATTTCCATTGAAGATGGCTGTCTTCTGGGGTGTTGCGCCGTGTATTCTGGTGAAGGTTTACCGACGTTTCAGAGGTGCTTGCTGACTATCATTTTCCACCTCCCACAAGATAGAGGCACCAAAAACCTCTGAAACGTTGGTGTTCTTATATCAAACTACACGGCACAAAAACCCAGAAAACAGCCATCTTCATAATCGCCATCGTGAAAACCTGATGATTCACTAATCGTAAATTGTTCTCATAGTGCATAAGCTGTCTGGATGCGTTGCGGTTATTTTGCTTTGCAACCGTTTAATACAAAAATCACACAGATAAGCAGGGCCACAGTGGTTTAAAACACAAAGCTGTTCAACGGGAATGTTATGTTTCTCATACGTGTGGTTTTAAAGCCTGCACTCTTTAAAGCTTTAAAATATTGTTACATTCTGTAAATAATTCTATATATCCTACGTTAGCGAAGCTTAAAACTACTGGAGCGAGGAAACAGATTTTTAAATTCTACAGATAGTAAAATTTCAAAAGGTTTCTTTAGTTTTTCGATATATTTCGTCGTCACTATCCTGATACACTTGTCGCTATTATGAGTTGAGCTGAAAATTGCACAATTATAAAACTTATTTGCTTGTAACATTGGGGTTCCTTAAGCCCTTGTAAGGTACCCTACGGTTTCAACATTATCATTTATAACAATGTTACAACGATAAAATCGATTCAGAAATAATCTTCGCGTTCCAGACTAATATGTATAAATCAATTATGACTCAACACACATAAAGAAAGAATAACTTAATATAAATTTAGGGCACGATATGTTTAGTATTCCGCATTGAATTCGTGATTAAACTAACCAGAAATAGGTAGTTATATGGTAGTATGTTCGACTTCGCTTTATCAGGAAATCAAATCTAATCCATAAAATACGCATTTAAGTAAATTAAACTAACTTAACCTATCAAAGCCAAAATGTTTCAGTTGATATTATTATAAAATGCGTATAGTTACTCTTGTCCTGGACAGAAATTTTCTATTTTCTGAACACGTTAATACAAATTAATAAATACTATTCCATCATACACACAATATGTTTATCACCGGATAAGAATTGAGCCTTGTGCTGCATGTTCGGAAAAAGTCTACCTTCAGGCAGAAGTGTTCAGTCCCATTGAGGATAGCGGATCTAATGTGAGATCGATCAGTCGCCTGTCAATTGTCTTTAAATTCAGCCTTGTCATAGAAGAGGACGAAGTCCTAGGACTGCATTTAGAAAGAACTAACATTTTCAGTCAAGTAAATTTTTTATGTGGCTCAAATTGCCCAACCGAATTCGAGTCAATATTTTGCCATTGATCTACCCAGATCTCTGCATTAAAGCCAATAGCAGTTTCAGAACTAAATTTGCTCCTTCACGTCACAAATACTGGATAGTCTGTCCTTTTCGAGTGTAGTTTTATTGACCTGGAATAAGCTATAACCCGATTATGGTCAATTTATTATTCGTTATTTTTTTTTTTTTGTTTCCTTGAGAATCTTCAAAATGTACACAAATATCGACCTAAAGTAACAATGATTATTTCCTAAACTTTAAAGAGATTCGATTAGCGTAACAGTAAATAGTTCCCATGGTTGTGCTACTCCGTGCACCTGTTATTATTTTCGGTGAAAAAATGTGAGTCATCCTGCTTTTAACGAGTGAAAGGAGGGGAAGGGAAGCATGACGTCATAAGTTACAACAGATTCATCGCATATTACTACTTCTAGCGCTAACAGTAGGTTTGTATGTACATCAAAACCTGTCTTCCATTACGACAGCCTAAATGCATTTTAAAGGTAAATATCAATGAACCAGGAACAACTGCGAATACACATATAAATTTTAGCACATAGAAAGGAAGTGTGTTATTTCCAATCAAATTTAAACGCTTCTATAAGGAATTAAAATGCAAGGAATATTTTTGCCTGTATTTTGAAGAACAAATGAAAAACGCAGTTGTTCTGCGTGTATTCCTATAATATTGCTGTCTGATGGACAGCAATGTGTAGATTATCAAAGCCAAGATCGCTAATTAACCTTTCAGATATAAGACAAAAGGACCAATGATTGTGTACAAATACATTTAATAGAACAATTCCAATTCAAATAAAACGAACGTCCCAAAATGCAACACGTGACACCACTGTATCTTCTATGTTATGAATTTTATCTATACTAGAGCAACGCGCTCCTTTCGGAGGGCTTTCTCTAGAGTCGTTCTTTCTCGATAATTTCGCTTTTTTCGTCTATCGGTTTCTGTTGATATTTAATACTTCTTTTTTCAGCAGTAAGCTGTTATTCTATCTTCGATACCTTGACTGATTTTCACACTATATATGTCGCTGTTCTTATTGGTTTACAACACGCAAACACTTCTGCCATATTGTCAGACAGCATCAACACGTCTTTATTCTATTATTTAGAGAGCCATTCCCCGGCAGAATTAGGTACTACCACTATTGTTGGCAGAGCATCCTACAGGTACACTTCTAATTACTCTAATTCTCATGCATCGCAGCTGATATTTTTACAGAAATCACAACTATGAAGCGACGAGTTTAACCATACACTCATGATAAAGCAGAATAGAGGGTACCACTGTCACACACCTACAACACAAAGATGAAATCAAAATACTGGAAAAGAATAAAATTGTTAAACAGACGTAATATATTCTCCACCACGCGTCAGAATCCTTATTAAGAAGCTGACAGTAGCTCATATATTTGCAAGAATAATCTATATCTCTAGGCCGTCTTCTCAATCCTTAAATCGAGAACATGTCATGCAGTGATAAATAGAGACCCACTTAAAAAAAAATTTAATTTTAAAAATTAAATAATATTTAATTTTAACCTTCATTATTAATGGATATTATTGACAAAACTATTTGCTTAACGGCTGAACCAAGAACAGAACTTGAAGACTGAAAGGTATAATTTACATAAAAATTAAATCATGAGAAAAATTGGGCACCTTGAATTGCCTGATGATGTTAGTAGACCTAGATCGAAACAAGTTGCCATAACATTATAATATCAGTATCTTATGATTATCTGTACATAAAGATGCTGAACTTATGATAACAAATGCGTTTATTTATACGGTTCACTCTTCATTTGTTTACAGGCTCACCCCAAATACCATTTTAATTACGGCGTGAAGGATCATCACACAGGCGATTTGAAGAGTCAATGGGAGCAAAGAGACGGCGATAAAGTCAAAGGATCCTACAGTGTTCTTGAACCAGACGGCTCTATTCGGACAGTCGATTACACAGCTGATGACCTCCACGGTTTCAACGCGGTTGTTAAGAAAACAGGCCCATCCCGACACCCAGTTTCGAGACACATTTCTCCCAGTCATCAAGTGATGGAACCCATCATATCAGATGCAAAGCCGGTCTCACCAATAATTTCTGTTACTAAATCAATCCCACCAATGAGATCAACTAGTTACATCACACCATTTTCGGCTTACGCCTCTGGAAAACACTACTATTACCCGGATCTCGGTGGGTTAAGTGCATATAAAGTCCCTGGTGGTCTAAGTTCGTACGATTCAGGACTATATAATGTACAGGCTCTGAGTGACGGTAGTTCAACACATGCTGCTAATCCCGGACCAGTTCTGTTCCCTGACACACCGGAAGAGACAGAAAATGAAAGCTCAGACAGAAAACAGGTGCAGATCCCAGTTGGTTACTTCAGCAGGCGAGATGAGACGCCGCAACTTGTTAGGCTACAACGCGAGTTCTTCAGCGGCCGGTCCCAGCCAAATGGCCGTGACTAGAGGTGCCTGGCGCTACTATTATTGAAGGCGAACTTGTGGCAAGAAATTACAGTCACCATCCTACGGCATACTGAAATTATGCAGCAAATCCTCGTTTTGCGATGATACGGATCACGAACTGTGACTAACTTTTAACTGATCAGCATGCGCGCGGCG